CTATCTTTTCGACGAGGGAATGGCTTACTCGGGGCTGCGCACACGTGTGTCGAGCCTCGCCACGATCGCGTCTGTACGTGTAAAAACGCGAAAGGGTTTCTCCGCTACGAAAACTGCCCGCCCTCTCTCTTTTCGGGGTAATGACTTTACTCGTTACCAGTGGCTAGCGAGCTAGCTTCGATAAAGGAACCTGTCGACAAAGGATTAATAACCGAATCCAACCCTTTGCACGCCGTACGTAGAGACGCGTCTGTTCTCCTTCGCCACCTATACGCCTTCGTTCTCTTCCTACCAAATTAAATCTGCATCCCTCTCGTCCTTCCATCCTCCGTTTTCCGTACGCTACAGAACCCATCAATATTTCACGTTTCACTTTTATTCTCTAAACGATGTAACGGAACAAGCTCGGCTACGCCTAACCTATATTTACGTTAGGACGTAATGTACACCTACTGAAAATTTCACGATTAAATCTCGCTACTTTCACTCCGCGCAAACTGTGTAATTCCTACGTCTACGCAAACTCCGTGTAAGATTATTCGCAATTTTAAATCGAGTCCAGTTCGAAAGCGCCACGATGCTACGGCGGGCGAGAGAGGAACGAGTAAAAACGTGCCGTGAAAAATCACGTTTAATTGGAATGCAGCGTGGGATTACGTGACATCGCGGTCAGCACGAACGTTAACGTCGCGCGAAAATCGCGACTTTTCGAGCCTAGATCGCGGGCAAGCGACATTACGCAGAAGTCCGCTATTAAAGCGACCATTAAACTCGCCGATCGCGCGACATGCTGAAAAACGTTTTCGGTTTCGTGGTGCGATTCGTGCTCGAGATTAAACTACAATTTTCCTTCACGCAACACCCTAACGTTTACTCGATCTTCGGAAAAACCTCGACGTACCAAAGTTTCTGCGAGTACTTACCTCGCGATTTCCGAAAATGACCAGTTGCTCTTCCACTGGGTTCGCAAGCCGAAACTATCCGCGACGCACTGACAGGTTCGAACCAGTTTACGGGTACAGTGGGGGGGGGGGGGACGAACGAAGAAACGAAGTACCAACCGTCGTCTGCATAATCGTTACGGCGGTTTGTAATTGAATTATTAACGGAGATGTTATCGATCAGTCGGCCGTTGTAATTTACTTTTGTAATTCGCGATGAGATACGACGCGAGGAAAATAACCAGGTAGGGAAAACAGATCGTTCGCAGCGATGAGAATTTATGAAAGTCGTTGTAAACACCGCGTGCCTGCGACTCGTTATCGAGGTTACGTTCGATTTTTCGTCAAATTTCCCAGCCAGACGCAGAGAGAGCACAGGAGAATCGTGGACCGAGAGCAATTTTTTACGAGGATATAATCTATGTAAAAAGATTTATCGCGGAGTGCAACGTGTTGCAGCACGTTTCGACGATTTGTCCGGATCATCGCGACGCATTTTCCCTACCCCGGTCCTCTCTCCCCCATCCAGACGAAAATGTTATCTATCGCAGAAGTGTTTACGAGAGTTATCAACCTTCCTGCACTTTTCACCGAGCGATTTTTTATCCGGAAAGAGGCGCAACAGACGTTTCCGTTATTTCACTGTTCGTATCGACGTATATCGTCGTTCGTACGACGCCGCGAAACTATTTTCCTTGCTACCCGCTCGCGGCGGTAGCTGTCAACATGTAGCAACCCGGTTCTCTACATTATCGACGCACGTTCGACTTTCGATCCATCTCGCGTTTTCCCGCGTTTACTCGCCGCTTATCGCAATGTCGTTGACCTTTTTCACGCGATACAACTTTATTCATAATTCTGGGAACGTAAAAACATTTAAAAATAGAAGCACGTCGGTCGCGATAGGAGAAAAGTTGGTTGAGAAAGATCGTCGCGGAGATAAATGCGCCGCGCCGCAGATCAAATTGTACAAAAGCTTTTATTAACAATTACAAATACGTGCGTACAACTATACATATGTATACTGATTAAGCTCGTTCGCGGACAGACTAAACGGGAGCCGTTCTGTTCGGGCAAGATCGCTCTCCCGCGCCGATTCTCTTATTGTTTACAGAAATTTTTGCATACGGAGGCACAGCTTCGTCAATTCTGGAACGTTCAAATAGTCTTCCAGAAAATACGAGCAGCTCCTCTCAGTTGGTGATCTTCGCCGGGACCTCGAAGCACGTGATCGTGTGATTGCCTTGCACCAACTCGTAGTGTATCACCATCGAGATCTGTGGTTTCATTGTTTTTTCTTTTAATTACCATAGCCTCGACGAGGAATCGTTGCTCGAGCAAACTTGCGCGGAATCTGGCGAAGAAGTAAACGAAAATTCTTACCGTTGGATAGATCTGAAGGATGGGGAACTCTCGCTTGTAGGTATACTCTACGCCTTTTTTCAGCGTGCAGCCAGCCGAAGTTCCGTCCGCGTTGAAAAGGTTTTCGCACGCGCTAGTCCCGTCTACGCCGACGAAAGGCAACGGTACACCGAGAACAGCGGCGTTCACCGAGTTCACAATGTTGTCGCAATCTTGATCGGGCACGAACTTCTGCTCGACCGATGCCTTCGTCCTGCGTTTCAGTTTGCACGGCGGCACGCTGCAGCCAGATATCCTAACCCGATTAGCATCTTCGAATTTCGCTCCTGCAAACATTTCGTCGCTCAAAGTCGAACCGTGTTACATAATTAGACGACTCTTATCTCCGATCTCCAGGAATACATATGTATGACCAGGCGACCGGTTTTCCGCGGCTCGACGACGATAAACCGAGTTTCCCCGCCTTGCCGGCGGATAATCGGTTCGATCGATATCAACGTAATGCACACGGCGATGAAAACGCGGTACAATTTGTGTGCAGAATCCCTTCGAGGAGCACTTTCGCCGCTGAAACGTTGTCTATTCGAGTTACGCGATAATTCGTGGCCGTAAACATTACGTAAAGATACACAAGTGAAGAAGATACGCTGGATGAATCAGTGGATAAGTTGGACCTTGTACCACAACTGTGGAAAACGACACGGTTTGCCGAGAACGCGAATTGGAGAACAAAGGAGATACGCACCAGAGCCACAATCGTTGACTTCGGTAGCAGCGGCGATCACGATCAGAGCCGCGAAAACGAAAATCGTTCCCCTCAGCATGGTCTTTCGGTGAAAGTGTGCGCGCGCGTGTGTGTGGTGTCCTCGCGGAGAAGAAGATTCTCTGGGCAAACAGGTCCCTGCGGCTGTCCTCGCTCGGTCTAATCAGGTCCAAGTCCGACTCTCGACTGAGAGTTGCTACGGCCGGCCATTCGTCAAAGTTCACTTTAAATAGATTCCCCTTCCCGGGGGAGAGTCTAGTCCCCCTGGTGGGGAATGCGGGAGAAAAGTGAGCCAGGCGTGGAAGGGATTCTGTAGATTCATGAAATCGATGCGGAGACGATAGATCACGTTCGCGGGGAATCGCGCACCAGCCTTTGTCGCTTTCTACTTGCTCCTTCTCGCAAAGCCTTCTTCCCTTTTTTCTTGGCCATCGGCTCGGACCAGCGAGCTGACCAGACCGGTCAAGCTGGGCGAACGGAAATTAAACGGACCAACGTGGCCGCGAATAACAAAGCACCGGAAATTGACAACGCTATTTCGCTCCTCTGGGCCCTCCTGCAAATGGAATTCCCAGGATGAGCTCTGATTAACGCTCGTAAACGCGACACGTTTCGATATCTCAGCCGAAATCGTTCCGTATCTACATACGAGTGTGTACGGAAACCGAAGGTCGGCTGGTATTTCGATTAGGAGCGTTACGAAAGTTCCCAGAAATCACACGGCCGTGTTATTCAAATGTAAACAAATAGAGCGATAGAAGGTACAAGGAGCGTCGCGTATAGCTAAATACGTGATTCATCGTCGGTTAGTACGTTGAGCTTCGATGTTATGTCTCGAGCGCAATAACGACGACAACGCGGTCCTCTCCGTGTAAACGTACACCGCCGGAGGACACGAAATGCAGCACGTGAAGTAGAAAGTCGGCCGGAATACAAACGGAGACTCGTTAGCGAAGATAACCTTGAAGGTGGAAAAAATGAATTCTCGACGAGTCTGCACGATGGCACACCTCAACTTCCTCGTGCCTATACCTACCTGTCGAACGTGAGTAACCTTCTTTCGTTCGTTTTTCTGGCGCGGACATGTGCGAGAAACGGAATGGTACGACGCAAAGAGTTGCAACTCGTTTCTGAACAATGTAATTGAGTAATCGTGACGAGGCAGCGATTCGTCTTCGACGGCACGGTCGTGCGGAAGAACCCTGGCGTCGTCGTTCGACTGGAGGTTGTCAACCAACTGCGTAAATAAGAATCACGGAACGCGATTCGATTCTCGGAAATACGATGCAAAAAGCGTGCTCGTGAAAATAATTATGCAGGCTGTGCACGGAGGGGGAAGAGGTTGTCAGTCGTTACGCGTACGATATTTATCGAAAGAGTCGATTTCCTTGACGTTCGCGTCTTCCGGTTCCTACATGCTAATTGCGCAAACGCCATCTCATCTTTGCCGTGTCGCGTTCCTCGACGAATAAAAAACCATGACATTTTTTCCTCCCAACTTGGCTCGCGGCTCTTCGCTTGCATTCGCATCGCGTTTTGCGCAAGCAGCTGCGTCAGCGCTAATTATCCTGAAAACTGTTGCGATCTACTGGTTGCAAATGCACAAGGACATTTGATAAGGAACCTGTGCATTATAGATTAGAGAATGCGCCAAGCACTAGCGACTGAAAATTTTTAACCACCTTTCCGGTTTACATTGCTGCCGGCTACAGCCAAGTCCAAGAAATGTGAAAAACGTAGGCAAAGAAGAGTTGGACGTCCGCATGAATCAACTTTGCTTCGCGTTTGCCAAGAAAACAAGGAATATCTTGCGAAGAATGAGGCTCCACGTGGCTTCGACACAGACAATTATCCCATTTCTACGCTTTAATTTTCCATAAAACTTTCGGAAATATTCTCCCGTACAGGGCAGGGAGGTTTTCAAATGAAGTAGTCGCGACTAAATCGTCTCGCAGATAAATATCACGCGTAAATGCAAAAGTATTGTTTATTTTATCACGGTCGCAGATACGATATCGCTTTCCTTGCGGTTCAACGAGTTGCGCATTTGCTAACTTGCATAAATATCACACTATTTCACGCGAAATCTCGCCAAGTAACGCAGAAACAACTGCGTTAGCAATATTCGGCAAGTGAGACGAAGAGGAAACGGGATTCACCGTCGAAAGGCAACGTTTCCGTTACGATGTGTCGGTAACACTTTTCAGAAGAGTAACAAGTTGATTTTCTAACGCGACATTTCTACAACTTAACGTACGTTTACCTTTTTATTTAAACAACTGGCAGAATTCGAAATAACGAAATATTCCTTGCGAACAAAATATAGATCAATCTGTTTTACCTACTGCCAGTACAGAGAGATCAACGTAAACTGTTTTCATTCCTGGTTCTCTTTCACGAGATGCCACCTAGTATACGGCGAAGAAATAAAAATTAAGCCCCGTTCACGTTGTTCGAAACGATTCGAATCTTGTTCCGACGTTAGGCGCGTGAAATCGTTGCGCGTCCGTAACGGAGCGACTAGCAGCTGATTGTTTCTTTTCCTCCGTTTACAACAGATTTCACACACGTTCAGCCATAATTGGAAAAGTAACCCGGCGCGAGTCCGAGCTCACGGGCGGCACGAGAGAAGCGTTTTTGATTTATACGCCGAGTGGTCCACGTCGCACAGCTGGAAACGTGCATCGAGCAGTGAAAAAGGTATCTAGGCCGCGCGAGTACGAGTGGCTGTCGTAAAGAAAAAATTCTCAGCACTAAAAGCTTTTTACGAACCTTCTGATGGACGTTGTCGGCGTTAAAGCGGCCGCCCATGAAAAACAATACTCGTGGATAATCTCGCGGGGTTATTCGTCGAAAGTTGCCGGGGAAAATGAACGCACAAAGAGGGGAAGGATGACGCATCGCGAGAAAGGCGGTTTATAAAGCGAATATCGCGGGAGAGTCCGTTCCGTCGAAAAACGGGACCGATTCCGGCAAATTGTCCGAATATCCGGCGAACGATTCGTGGTTCGCGTAGTTGCAACAGTCCGACATCTATTTCTGAACAGGATGTATTTATAACTAACCTTACCTTCCGTGGGCTCCCAAGCTACGTGCCGGCACTCGCGTAAATGGTATTGCGACCGTCTAAACCTCTTTTCGAATCCAATATCTCACATGCAGACTTTACGGCGGATAAAGTGCACCCTCCGTACCTGTTAAGCGGGAAAGACGAGTTATATCGTCGTTGGAGAACGCCTTCCTGTAATGGATGCGGCTACTTAACTCCTCAACAACTTTAATAATTACGCGGTTTCGAGGGAAACATTAAGACGCCGTTTCGCGTGCTACCTCTCGATGCTTCTTCCTTTCGTAAATTTGCTTACCTAAGCAAATTCTCAACGAGTGTACGAGATAACGTTAAGCGTCTTATTACAATTTCAATAGATAGCAGGGACGATAGAGTAGCGCGTTTAGTATTTCGAAAGAGGCGAAAGAGGCGAAAGAGGCGAACAAGGCCGTAGAAGACATGTGCAAGCTCATGAAAGTAAAATCGCCTGGCCATCTCTCTTTTCCAAAGCAACGTCAGGGCTCTGCGAAACAAACGGAACCGTCTGCCAAGGGCTCCCGGGATAATCTCGGAAAAGCGGGATAAATAACCAGACGGCTCGTAGACCGAACCGTTTACTCGTTTATATTTGGATGCCGATGCATTCTCCGATCCCCTCGCACTTTGCATCCAGTTCGAACTCCCCTTCGTTCCTTTCTGTCCTACTCTTCTACCAAATCGGCCAAGGAAGAAACTGCCATTAAACGAAATTTTGCCGGTGCGACCTTCGCTTCCGAAACCTTGCAGCAACAACCGAGCGCTTCTACGAACGGCTCGACCTAGATGCTCCGCATTGCAACCTGGGAATGCTTCAAATTTCAGTGACACGCGTTTCCCCGTTCGCCGGAGAAAGCATCATTTTTATCCCCGAATTCTGCTGCGAACGGAAATCGAGACGAGCTCTTTCTCTTCTTCCTCCTCTTGCCCAACGAGAGATGGACAGATCCATGCCACATGATACTGTTTTGACTGATCTACCGTTCCACCAACGCCAGCTCGTCCAAGAAAAACGGCCTATCGGCTGGGCGCAGTCCACAGAGGGACAAAGGGGCCGGAGAGGAGCGGAAGCATTCCCACGAGACGCGCCACAGGAGGAGAAGTTTCTAAAGTGACTGGAGTGTTCTCTGTCAAACAAAAGCTTATTATATATTATAGCTTGTCCCGGCCCGATGCGAAGAAATTTCTCTTCCAGTAGAAAAGAAGAAACGCGCGTGTTTGTCCCGCACGAACCTCTCCTCTCGCTCCCTCCTTGTCCCTCCGGCCAATTGTGTTCGGGCGTGAAACGTGGGGTCCACGGGTAAATCATACTTTCGGGCAAACTTGTCTCTCTGAGGCTGAGCAATTATAAAGTTGCTTCGAGTATTTCAGAAGAATTCGAATAAAGTATTTACATATTTGTAGTAGTCACGGTGCAAGTAAGTCCGATCTCTGTGTACATAAAATTGGATATGGAAAACGTCGTAAGCACGTGGAATAAAGTGGGCAACAGTTTATCGGTTCGCACAATGCAGCACTGTTCCCGTGCTCGTTAAAACCGCGCCCTTTGATACGCGAAGGCTCCAGTGGCATTAGGTCCAGCTAGCATTAAGTGACTTACGACGTTTTCACCGTGGCCTGACGGAAATAGCGTTATGTATCGCGTATACACATATGTACACGCGAGCAACAAGAAGCCTGGCGTGAAAGAGAAAAGGGGGAGAGACGAGAAGGCGAGCTGAAGAAAACTAGGAGTCGTGAGAACCAAACGGGGAATCTTTGAATACAGAGAAATCTCGTGGCGCAGAAGCAGCCAGAGAGGGAGAAAAGAATTGGAGCGAGTGGAAATGAGGAAAAGCGGACAAATGCTGCGCATCGAAGAAACGAAAAGAGAGAAGGGGAAAGGAAGAGAAAGATGAGCCAACTAAGCCGCGGGAGACAGAGGCGAAGGAAGAGAGGAGGATCGCGAGATGGAGACGAAGAGATACGAGGAGAGAAATGTTCGTTTTCTGGTGGGACAGGTGCATGCCTCTATTTTGGCGAGGCCACTGGGAAATGTTTTGTCCAACGCCGGTATAAAATCGCGACATTCCTCTGCTCCGCTTCTCTTCGACTTCAACCTGCTCCTTTTAGTCTCTTCGGCTCCCTCTTTGGCTCGCGAGATGCTCGTGGAGGGAAGCGAGGCGTAAACGGGCACCGAGCTCTCGCTGCTCACCCTTCCTCCGTGCT